TTTTGCAATATTTCGATTTGCAGTTTCAGGCTTTCTCAATTTTTCTATTTACAATTTTCCATTTTTTTTTTGTTTCTTCAATTTGACGTTCTGGAACTGTTCGAGTTTTTATTTTTAAATTTTTCAGTTTATCGATTTATTGGATGTTTCAATTTTTTATTTTTCAATTTTTCATGTCTTCAATTTTTTGATTTGCAATTTTTCATTTCGATTTTTTATTGTCTTTTTTTTTTCTTCAATTCATCGATTTTTCAGTATTCTAAATTTATAACTTTTCTTTTTTCAAGTTTCAATTATTGGATTTTGAAACTTTTTCATTTATTCGACTCGTCAATTTTTCGATTTTTATTTTTTTGTATTATTTCTTTAATTTTACGGCAACTCTTCGAGTTTTCATTGTTAAATTTTTCAGTTTTTCGATTTTCCAACTTTTATTTCGATTCTTCAATTTTCCATTTCTTCAAATTTTTCATTTAGGTTTTTATTTCCTTTATTTTACATTGCTCAATTTTTTGTTTCTTCAATTTTTCGATTTGCAATTTTGATTTTTTTTTTATTTCATCAATTTTACGCCCTGCAACTGTTCGAGTTTTTATGTTTAAAGTTTTCAGTTTTTCGATTTTTTTGGATGTTTAAATTTTTCTATTTTTTAATTTTTGTGTCTTCAATTTTTTGATTTGCAATTTTTCATTTCGGATTTTCAGTGTTGTGACTATGACTTTTATTTTTTCAAGTTTCAATTATTGGATTTTGAAACTTTTTCATTTATTCGACTCGTCAATTTTTCGATTTTTATTTTTTTGTTTTATTTCTTTAATTTTACGGCAACTCTTCGAGTTTTCATTTTTAAATTTTTCAGTTTTTCGATTTTCCAACTTTTATTTCGATTCTTCAATTTTCCATTTCTTCAAATTTTTCATTTAGGTTTTTATTTCCTTTATTTTACATTGCTCAATTTTTCGATTTGCAATTTTGATATTTTTTTATTTCATCAGTTTTACGCCCTGCAACTGTTCGAGTTTTTATGTTTAAAGCTTTCAGTTTTTCGATTTTTTGGATGTTTAAATTTTTCTATTTTTTAATTTTTGTGTCTTCAATTTTTTGATTTGCAATTTTTCATTTCGGATTTTCAGTGTTGTGACTTTATAACTTTTCTTTTTTCAATTACATATTGGATTTTAAAACTTTTTCGTTTATTCGACTTTTCGTCAATTTTTCGATTTTTAATTTTTTTTTCTTCGAGGATTATGGAGTTATGAGGATTTGAGAATTTTTTGATTTTTCTTTTTTCAACTCTTCCGGTTTTCACTTTTAAATTTTCCAGTTGTTCGATTTTCCTACTTTTGGATGTCTCATTTTCTTTTTCCCTGTTCTGAGGATTTGAGGATTATGGAGGTCTGAGGATTGAGGATTCCGCTGTTCCGAGGATTTGAGGATTTTGTAGTTCTGAGGATTTGAGGATTTTGCTGTTCCGAGGATTTGAGGATTAAGGAGTTCTAAGGATTTGAGGATTCCTCTGTCCCGAGGATTGGAGGATTTTGGTGTTTTGAGGATTTGAGGATTACGCTGTCCCGAGGATTGAGGATTTTGGGGTTCTGAGGTTTGAGGATTTCGCTGTTGTGAGGATTTGAGAATTTTGTTGTTCTGAGGATTTAAGGATTATGTAATTCTGAGGATTTGAGGATTCTGCTGTCCCGAGAATTTGAGAATTTTGGTGTTCTGAGGATTTGAGGATTTTGATGTTCTGAGGATTTGAGGATTATGGAGTTCTGAGGATTGGATGATTCCGCTGTCCCGAGGATTTGAGGATTTTGCTGTTCTGAGGATTTGAGGATTCCGCTGTCCTCAGAATTTGAGGATTTTGGGGTTCTGAGGTTGAGGATTTTCTTGTTCTGAGGATTTGAGGATTTTGATGTTCTGAGGATTTGAAGATTTTGATGTTCTGAGGATTTGAGGATTATGTAGTTCTGAGGATTTGAGGATTCCGCTATCCCGAGAATTTGAGAATTTTGGTGTTCTGAGGATGTGAGGATTGGAGGATTCCGCTGTCCCGAGGATTTGAGGATTTTGGAGTCCTAAGGATTTGAGGATTTCGCTGTTGTGAAGATTTGAAGATTTTGTTGTTTTGAGGATTTTGTTGTTCTGAGGATTTGAGGATTCCGCTGTCCCAAGGTTTTGAGGATTTTGGTGTTCTGAGGATTTGAGGATTTTGTTGTTCCGAGGATTTGAAAATTTTGCTGTTCTGAGGATTTCAGGATTATGGTGTTCTGAGGATTTAAAGATATGGTGTTCTGTGGATTTGAGGATTATGGAGTTCTGAGGATTGGAAGATTTCGCTGTTCTGTGGATTTGAGGATTTTGATCTTCTGGGGATTTGAGCATTGTGGAATTTGAGGATTTCTCGATACTGAAGATTTAAGGATTATGGTGCTCTGAAGATTTGAGGATTCGGCTGTTCTGAGGATTTTAGATTTTCCAATAATTCGAATTGCAATTTCACGCTTTCTCAATTTTTCGATTTTTAATTTTTCATTTTTTCGTTTCTTCAGTTTTCCATTTCTTCAAATTTTTCGTTTAGGTTTTTTTTTCTTTATTTTTACAATTGTTCAATTTTTCAATATTACGATTTTAGAATTTTTTCAATTTTTCGTTTCTTCAGTTTTTCGATTTGCAGTTTTTCATTTTTTTTGTTTTTTCAATTTTACGTAATGCAACTGTTCGAGTTTCTATGTTTAAATTCGTCCGTTTTTTATTTTTTGGATGTTCAATTTTTCTATTTTTCATTTCAATTTTTTTATTTTTCGATTTTTCAATTTTCATTTCTTCAGTTTTTCGTTTCGGTTTTTTATTTTTTTTATTGTTCGGTGTTTCAATGTTGATTTTATAATTTTTCATTTTTCAAAGTGAAATTTTTCAATTACATATTGGATTTTAAAACTTTTTCATTTAATGGAGTTTACAATTTTTCGATTTTTAATTTTTCAATTTTTCGATACTTTAGATTTGCAATTTTTCATTTCGGTTTTTTATTTTCTTTATTTTCTCAGTTTTTCGGTTTTTCAGTGTTCTGATTTTATTTTTTTTTTTTTCAAATTTCATTTAATAGATTTTAAAACTTTTCCATTTATTCGACTTGCCAATTTCTCAGTTTTTCGATTTTCCAACTTTTGGAAGTCTCACTTTTTAGATTTTGCAGTATGTATTTCGATTTGCAATTTCACGATTTCTCAGTTTTTCAATTTTTCATGTCTTCGATTTGCAATTTATTATTTTTCATATGAAATTTTTCGATTTTCGACTTTTAGATTTTTAATTTTATGTTTTTCAGTTTCATGATTTTTCACTTCATCCATTCTTCAGTGTTTGATTTGTACTTTTTCTAGTTTTTTCACTTGTTCATATTACGATTCAAATTTTTTTCCATTTTACAGTTATTGGATTTTAAAACTTTCATTTATTCGACTTTTCAGTTTTTCGGTTTGTAATTTTTCAACTTTTCTACTAAAAAAATGGGAAAATTACGGGATTGTAAAACCGAAATATCAGAAATGAGAAAACGAAAAATTACAAATAGAAAACTTTGAAAAATCTAAAAATTTGAAATCAAGAACATGAAAAACTGAAGAAACAAAAATTGACAATTCGCAAATTGAGAAAAAAATTGAGAAAATTAAAGATTGAATAAACGAAAAATTGTGATATTAAATCGAGAAAATGAAAATTTTAAAATCTGGAAATTGAAAAATTGAAAAAATTGGTAGACGTAACTAAAATGCAAAATGTTGTTATACAATTTTGAAAAAATTCGGAAATTGTGTCCAATAAAAATTGATACAGACGACAATGGGAGACCACTTTTTTCGTACTCTAGAGATCACGAAACGTCGAGAAAACATGGAAGTAACAATATTTCCATAGTTTACATCACCATCCCGCCACTAAAATCTGGAACACCGCTTTACATCCCCCCGTCCGACCAGTTCCGATCCCAAGTTCCATCAAATAGTGTTCTGACACAGTTATTTCCAACACGTCCGTTTCATTTCATATCGCATTATAATCGCAACGCAACCCAATTACGACTCAAATCGCCGATTCCCCACAACTCTCCGAGCGCTCATGCCTCTTCATCATGCAACCGTGAAACATAAAAAGCAAATTTTCGCCAACCGAAATTTATATAATCGGAGAAATCGCCCCGCTAATTACCTTTCTATGTTCGGATACGGATCTGTGTTTCGAAAAGTCGCCGACTCGATTTTTCTTGTATTGATGGGTAATGCCGCCATCAATCATCCCGCGAAGACATATCGGGTGTCTCGCGAAGAATGCGCCGGATTTGCCTCCGAGGATCGATATGGAGATATTAAGGGCGAATTATTAATAACCGAGGCGCGGATTATATGCACCGAAAAATGGGGCGCGCCCGAACTGCGCCGAATTTTCGGTCTCGACGGAGAAAGTGTGACGGGTGCACCCCGCGTGACCCCGACACATCATAATTAAATTTGTACGTTCTGTGTAATTTCCTCCTGCAATTTTAATGGGAATTTTATTGTCAGTGCTCCCTTGACCCGACGGCATGATTCAATGCGCTGGGTTTCTCGCATTTGCGGAGACGAATTTTCAATTAAACGGAAAGAAAAATAAAGCGGGCCGGGAAATGTCGCCAGAGAGAACAATGGACAATAGTGGCTGTTCGTACGGTGAATTATGGGAGTTTCGATTATTTCTGACATAATCTAAGTAAAGTCGTTAAGTCTTATTATGAAAAAATGTGGATGACTCGATTACAACTATACAAGGCTCCGTCTCGTATTAATTAAAGCTCTTAAAAAAACATCAATTACGGTGTGACGCCATAGAATATTTCCCACGAATTCAAAAGGCGTTGTCATTATTACATTATTTTTTCTAAGGCCAGCCAAGCATATAATTTTCGACTTTAATTGTCCAACTTCTTGAGTTTTTTGAGTTTCTTAATTGTCGCTTTGTTCCAGATCGGATGGCACCGAATCTCCCATACTAGAAGAACAAGAGAGTGCCAACTCAGAGAAACCCAAACAGCTCGTCAAATATGGAGAACTAGTCATTTTAGGGTGAGTACTCGCCTATAAGGTTTCGTTTTACTTTTATGATCCGATTAAAGTCACGCCAGACGTGTCTCTATCAGACATTTCTAGGTATTCGTGTCTTACCTACTACCCAAATAAAACCAACCCACTTTTATTGGGTCGCCGAGTCCGAATCGATGCTCTCGTTTCGGCCAAAATAAACTAAAACAAAACAAGAGTGCATTTTCGACGTAAACAGTCGACTTTCTCTGGTGTCTGGACAAAAACTCGCCGTAATACGGTTTATTTTAATCTGGTCTAAGCATCTATAAATATTCGTCGTATTTACTTGCTCGTTGGCTTATTTGTACTTTCTCTACGAGGTGTTGTTTTTTTCTACAGATACAATGGTTTTCTACCTCAAGGCGATCGGGGCAGGAGACGTAGTAAATTCGTCCTGTACAAAAGACCCACCGCGAACGGGGTCAAAAGGTCGAGGCATTACGTCGTCCAGACGCCCCATTCCTCGCAAGCCATCTTGGATGCCAACCAGCACTCAATATCGTACACACTGTCCAGAAATCACGCCGTTATAGTAGAGTACACGGCGGATGAGGACACTGACATGTTCCAGGTAAGTGGGAAAGGGGTTTTGCCGGAGGGGTACGCGAGATTTTTTCTACGACCGCTAGCGAAAGGGTTTGTTCGTTCCAAAGAGCTAACTGAGATGAAGTGGCTCTCTATTAATTTTTACTTGCCAAGCGTAAGCGTATGTATAATAGGAATATTAATCATGTAGATGGTTAAACTAATTGAAATTTCCCTCCCAAAAAATTGATGACGTCTCAAAATCTTGCCGAATAAATTTTTGGCGTTTCGAAATTTTCGATTTTCTCTATAAATCGATTTTTTGATTTTTCGACTTTTCAATTCTAATTTTTCGAATTTTTAAATGTTAGATTTTTCACTTTTTTGACGTTTCGATGTCTCAATTTTTCGAGACTTTAGTTTGAGAATTTTTCAATTTTTCGATTCTTCAAATTTCCGATTTTGAATTTTCGATTTCTCGATTTTCAGATTTTTCGGTTTTTCAATGTTTGAATTTTTCGATTCTTCAATTCACATACATTTTAATTTTAATTTTTTTTAATTATTATTTTAGATACATATTTCGATTTTTCTTTTTTTTTTCAAGTTTTCAATTTTTCCAATTTTTAAATGTATAACAGACGCCTTCTTCGTGCCACTAAGTTGGGCGCCACTTTTTATAACACGTGGTTTATTCCGTAAAAACTTTATTCAACAAAACATAGTATATACACTGCATAGACATAGACTGGTTACACGAGTTCTTAAAAATGGTCACTCCGCGGACGAACAGTCCTGATAACTCGTACACTCGCGAACACCCGGAGCGTTTTTCCACGGCCGGACCTGCGGGACCCCTCGGATACGCCGCTGATACTCAAGCCGACTTACTACTCGATTTGGACCTCCAAGACCCCTCGGATGCAAGGTGATACGCAAATGAGCTGTGAAGTTCGCAGATGGAAAAACTTGCCGAATCTGGCCGCTCGGGTCCTATGTAAAGGCGGCTAGAAATGCGTCGCGTGGGAGTGAAAGGGCGCACCGCCCTCTGGTAAGGGAGCGAGCGAGTACCGGGGTGCTGCGGCAGGGTAGTGGTGGTGCGTGGGCGTGACAGAGGGCGCTAGGGGTACTGATCGCGCTACAGTCTCCCCCTCAGGACCATAGGGTGCGTCCCCGCCTATTGGTCCTGCTGGATCTTTCTGGGGCGGCCTCGTCGTCGCAAGGGTTGTACCGGTGGCACGGGCTGGGTGGCTTCCTGCGTGGGAGGTTGGTACGGAACAAGGTCAGAGGCGTGATAGAGCCCTAGCACTACATCGGGCTGTTGGTGGGCGGCGATCTCGTAGCTCGTGGGGCCGTGCCTTCGTAAGACCACGTATGGTCCGTCTTGCTTGGGGGCGAATTTTGACGTGAACCCCTGGGAGGCCTTACTCAATCGGTGTGTTTTGACTAACACCAAATCTCCGGGGGCATAAGCGGTGCTTGTTTTTCGGTGACGGTCCTGGTCGCGTTTTCGCCGGTCTTGCTCGGACTCGTGTATTTCCCGAGCTCGTTTCAAGGTTTCGTCCAAGGTGAGTAACAGCGGGGTGGCCTCTGGTACGAAGTTCTCGCGGAGGGTGATTGCGCGGAGGTCGTGCGTGACGTCATCTACGGTGCGGAGGTCTCGGCCAAACATTAGGTACGCTGGGCTGTACCCGGTGCCGCTACACCATGCGCTGTTCATGGCGAAGCGAATGGAGGGTATCTTCTCGTCCCAATTTTCGTGGGGCTGGTTGCCAATCTGTATGGCGAGCTGCGTTTTCAGGTCGCGGTTTTTTCTCTCTACGGGGTTGGCCTCGGGGTGGTATACAGGGGTGAAGCTCTGGGTGATACCTAAGCAAAAAGTAATTTTCTGCATTACCGCGCTTATGAATTGGGTCCCATTGTCGCTCACGATACGACGGGGAATACCGTATCGGAGGAACACCTCCGTTACCAAGGTGGTGGCGCAGGCTTCGGCGCTAGCTTCAGCCAAAGTGAAGAGTTCTACCCATCTGGTTGCATAGTCCTCTACGATGAGGACCCATCGGTGGTGTTCTTTGGTTGGGGGCAGTGGGCCAAATAGGTCCACGGCCAGTACTTCCATGCGGTGTCCCATTGCTGGGGTTTGTAGTAGGCCAGCGGGCTTCAGATTTGGGGCTTTGTAGCGTTGGCAGTCGATACATCCCTTCAGGTAGTCGGTAATATATCGTCGCATACCCGTCCAATAGTATCTTCGCTTGATCCGATAGTATGTTCTTTCGACGCCATAGTGGCCGGCGGTGGGTGAGTCGTGGTACTCGGCCAGTACTCGGGGTCGTTCGTGTTTGGGGACTACTAGCTGAGTCTCCTCACTCTCTCCATCTTGAGAGTATCGGTAAAGAACCCCTTGGTTGAGTAGGTAGCCGCGAGAGGTCCACTGCTGGGAAATCTCGGCTTGGGCGTGGACCAGGTCGTCCATAATCTTCCTAATTTCTTCGTCCTTGCGCTGCTCGCTTCGTAGTTCGTTGGCTTTACGTGTGGGGAGGTCCACTTCTACGGAGTCGATGGCCACCTCGGGTAGGTGGGGTCGTGACAACATGTCTGCTACTACGTTGGCCTTACCGGGCGTATATTCGATGGTCAGGTGGTACGGCTGCAGCTGCAGTGCCCACCTCGCTAGACGTCCGGTCGGTGTCTTTAATGTCATCAGCCATCGGAGGGGCTGATGGTCGGTGATGACCACGGTTGAGGATTCTTCTAGATACCCACGGAATCTTCGCACGGCCCAGACAATGGCGAGGGCTTCGTGCTCCGTGGTGGTGTAATTCTGCTCGTGGTTCGTGAGCAGGCGGCTTGCGTACTCGATCGGGCGCTCCTCCGGGCCCTCCCCCTGGAGTAGAGCCGCTCCTAGGGCGTAAGCGCTTGCGTCCGTGCGCAAGACAAACGGTTCTTCGGGGTTGGCTTGTCGCAGGATGGGGGCGTCGGCCAATCGCTGCTTCAGTTCCTCGAACGCTTCTTGGTGGGCGGAGTTCCATTGCCATGTGGCATCTTTCTTTAGGAGGGAGCAGAGGGGTTTAGCGACCGTGGCGAAGGCGGTGATGAATCGCCTGAACCATGAACACGTTTGGATGAAGGATTGCAGTTGCTTGACGTTTCGGGGCGCCGCCATCTGCGTAACGGCGTGTACCTTATTGGGGTCCGCTGCGATTCCGGCGGGAGACAAGACGTGCCCTAGATATCGCACCTCGCGACATCCAAATTGGCATTTCTCGCGGTTGACCCGGAGTTTGAACGTGCGGAGCCTTCCGAAGACCTCCCTCAGGTGCTCCAGGTGGCTTTCTTCGTCAGCGGAGATGACGATTAGGTCGTCCAAGTAGGCCAACAGCGTAAGGTTAGGTAACCCAGACTTGAACCGGTCCATGAGGCGCTGGAACGACGCTGGGGCGTTTCGTAAGCCGAAGGGCAGTCGCCGGAAGCGAAACAACCCGAAGGGGCAGATAAAAGCTGTCTTGTCCCGGTCCTCTGGTCGCATTTGGATCTGCCAGTATCCGGCCTGGAGGTCAAGGGTGCTCATGCAACCAATGGGGCCGACGGAGTGCAGGAGATCGTCTAGCCTCGGCAGTGGGTAGGCGTCTGGGCGAGTGACGGCGTTCAGCTTCCGATAGTCGACGCACGGTCGCACGGAGCCGTCTTTCTTAGGGATGAGGACGATGGGGGCTGCCCAAGGGCTATCGCATTCCTCTATTACTTGAGCCTGGATCATCTTCTCCACTTCCTCCTTGAGCAATTGCTTTTTCGTGGCGTTTAGCTGATAAGGAGGCACCGCGATCGGGGCGTGGTCGCCTGTGTCGATGCGATGCTCGGCGTATGGGGTAGGCGGGCCGTGCGCCTCAAAAGCGTCGGCGAAGTCATCCACCAAGTCGTCAAACTTCGCGCGGGTCGGTTCGGTGAACCCGGTGCCTTCGTTGGCTTGCAGGTGCAGAGATGTTATGAACAGTCGCCGGGGCCCGTCGGGGAAGAGGCCCATCTCGTATTCGTCCATTTCGCCCGTCGTCATCGCGGTCTCCGCGTCTTCCCACATGTGTTCCGTCGCGTACGGAGCCTGATACGTGGTCCATATGCCGTGGGGGGTTACCAGTCCCTTGGAGGTATCGCGTTTCGGCGGTGCTGGTGGCGGGGGCCCGTAGCCTTCTTCGATGTCTCCCTCTTCCATGGGTTCCGATTGTGTGATTCGAACTTCTTTTATGGTCGTGGGAACTCCTTTTCTGGCGGGCGCCTCGGCTCCGTCGACGTCGACGAACGGGTAGGTCCGCGTGATGTCGCCGCCAAAATAGAACCGTCGTCTCGCCAAGTCGGGGATGATTCTCGCGTCCTCTATGAAGTCCGCGCCCAGCAGGGTGCGGGTGTTGCAAGAGTCGGACAACACGATGAAGGTGGTTTCTACGTGTCGTCCTTGTACGCCTACCTTGGTCGTGACGGCCGGCACCTGCAGGTGCTTGCTCGTGCCGTCTGCAAGGGTGGCGATCACGTTTTCCGTCCTTGCTTTGTGTCCCGTTTTTATCAGGTGGCGGTACAATGTAGCGCTGGCCACGCTATTGCACGCGGCCGTATCGAGGTAGCCGGTGCCTTCTTCTCCGGCGATTTTTATGTGGATTGCCGGGCGGGACCGTGGTTGGATCGTGCCGGACCTCAGCGCACAGAATGCCATGTTGCGTGCGGGTTGGCTGGCGTCGGTCGTGTTACAGGTGGGGCAATTTCTTCTAAACACCCCCGGGGCGTTGCAACCGTAACAACGCACTGGCTCAGCGGGCGTCCGGGTTGCCGGTCCGGGAGCTGGGGCAGGTCCTCGTGGTCTCCGGCGGCAAGCGGTTGTGTCGTGGCCAAAAGCTCTGCAGACGTCACAGCGGAGTCTGGGGCCGCGACTTCGGTTTTCGTCTGCTTTGGGGCCCTTACCATTTGGTTTCGCGTGCGAGTTTTTCCCTTCTCGCTCGCTCTCTTCGACGGCGCGGGCCTTGTGGAGGAGATCTGCGAAGGTGTCCACTTCCGTAC